GCATGGAGTAAACAATTGAAATATCATAGAGCAAAACTCTGAACTTATTTGTCTTTTTGAGCGAACTGAACTCATTCCTCTCATAGATAAAACTTAACTCATTCCTCTCATAGAACAAACTGAACTCATTCCTCTCATAGAATGAAACTAACTTCATTCCTCGAATAGAACAAACTGAACTTGTTCCTCTCATAGAACGATCTAAGTTCATTCCTCTCATAGTACAAACTGAAATCATTCCTTTCATAGAACAAAACTCTTAACTCATTCCTCTCATTAGTTCCATCCAAAATTACATCAAATTCACATTTGTATCTTGTACAATTTAGATATATTTAAATGTTAAATAAATGCAACTGGGTTCAACAAGTACAATGTTTATAGTTAACATGCAGGGCATTAAGGGCATAGACCCCAAATCATTGACCCTGATGAATGATTTTCTCTCACACCCCCACAAATCTGAAATGCTCCCAGATGACATTGTCGGGAAAACTTGCATTCGGTATCGAACTTGCATTGGGTATCGTGTCAGAGGGGTAATCGATTTCAAAGAGTTACCCCCAACCTTAATAGTTAATCGACTACACTGTTTGAATTGTTTGAGAGATGATTTTATTGAACATACAGCAGATGGATTATGTGAAACGCATATGATCACAGCTCTAGGAGCGCCTAATGATCCTAAGGAAATGTTACAACTTGAACAAAATGTTGATAAATTAGCACCCCTCCCCCTTTCTGGCATTTTTAAAGAGCTTAAGAAAAGTCCCCATAATTATTTATGAAATGTACTTACTTGATTTTAGCACAGCTGGTCCCACAGCAGGCAGGCCAGATAGATATTGTCTCGTTATGTGGCTCATTAGACAGGTTATTTAGGTCCGTCATGTTATGTGGCTTATTAGACAGGTTATTTAGGTCCGTCATGTTATGTGGCTTATTAGACAGGTTATTTAGGTCCGTCATGTTATGTGGCTTATTAGACAGGTTATTTAGGTCTGTCATGTTATGTGGCTTACTAGACAGGTTATTTAGGTCTGTCATGTTATGTGGCTTACTAGACAGGTTATTTAGGTCTGTCTCGTTATGTGGCTTACTAGACAGGTTATTTAGGTCTGTCTCGTTATGTGGCTTACTAGACAGGTTATTTAGGTATGTCTCGTCGTGTGGCTTACTAGACAGGTTATTTAGGTGTGTCATGTTATGTGGCTTACTAGACAGGTTATTTAGGTCTGTCATGTTATGTGGCTTACTAGACAGGTTATTTAGGTCTGTCATGTTATGTGGCTTACTCCGTGTTACACCTCCGAAGTATTACTCAAGATAAACAGTGTCCCGTCTTTAAACACCTCAATTGAAGCAACCACAAGAGCACCACGGAATTTAAAATTTTACCTGAAGAAAAGGACGCAACGAACAACAAACGTGCTGGCAAGAAGCTTTCGTCAGCGAACAAACAACATTGAAAACAGAATTAAATTTTAATAACACTTAGCTCAAATGCAGTATCCGAGAGGACACAAGAGGAACGTGACAGAAAGTAATTGAGAGATTAAATACAGGCGAAGAGGGACAGAAGATAGAAAAAGTAAGTACACTGTGATTGGCGGTAACGAGGAGGAGACGGAGAAAAGGTTTAACACGTGAATGAAACCCCAGTCCACAAATTTTGGATTGACTCACTTTAGACCGCTCCGCCACCTGTTTCTTTATGTCAAGCTTCCTCATACCTTGTTCCACTATTTCCTTCCCACGGCTTCTTTTTGTTTATATTACGGTAATGCACTAAAATGTAATAAAAGTTGTGAACAGTGTTTCTTTCAGGCATCACCGGTAAAAAAGAGGGGGGGGGGGAGAGAAAGCGGGCTATCCCCACCCCCTCCCCATGTACGTCTTCTGCCCTTGAAAAAAAACATCAAAACGCAAACTATATTTTAAAAAAAAACTCGGTTTTTTTAATTAAAAAAAACATTAAAAAAAAAAGGATATGATACATTTCACCGATAACTATAATTAAATTCAATTCAACATCTCTAGGGTCGATATATTTAATCCGAATATTTGAGGCCAATCTAGTCCAGCATTCGTTCTAAACTTTTGGATATCGTTGAAACTAACTTGTTATTGATTAGCAGAGCTACAATTTGAATAGTTAGCCCTTCTAACTTTCAAACATTTGAAATATGTTTGAAAATAATATTTCGCCATAAATCAGATTAACGTTTAAAGTAGGTCAGGGTGTTACTTATCAGTTGTATAATCGTACAGCTTTACCATTACACAGACAACCCTACAAAAATGCTAAGGTGTTTTTCTCTTAGACTTCTCATTCGCATTTAACGCCGTCCAACCAAAGCTTATGACTAAAAAGCTTTCGTCGTTAGGTGTACATTCAAATATTCGAAAGTCTGGATACTGAACGTTAAAAAAAAAATTGCCCAAAACACATCAAGGTAATTACAAAATATCACTAATTGGAGAAATAAGTTCTGGGCCCCCATAAGGTTGCGTTCTCTCCCCTATCAAGTAGACAATGTACGCCAGCTAGGGCTTAACAGGGAGTGGGAGAGGGGGGGGGGCGTGTTACGGTTGTGAAGAGGACGCACCAGAAGCAAAATTATATCTATATGCGATGATATCTAATACAAGCGACACCATTCCAATCAATTTTCTGTTGACAACACCATCGTTGGCTTAATGTCTGACCTACTTACAAGCTGTATTAGGCTGGTGCTATGAACATTTTCTTCAGTTGAATGTCTAAAAAAATGAAGAAAAAAAAAAGTATAGTTTTTTTATTAGCCGGAACTTCCTGTCATGACCTCGTCGCTGTTTAAGGGGAGAGGGATTTGTTTCTGTTTAATGTTGGAATAGTGGAACAGCCCATGTTTTATCTTGTACATCATGGAGGTAAATACATAGATGTATAGTACATAAACCCTTTCTACAATCAATATATATATATATATATATATATATTTCTTCTTTATCTATCTGGTAAAACTTGGACATATTTAGAAAGTGTTCTGTTATAGGCTTCTTACTTTTTATGAGACCATCTTTTTTTGTATTGAGATTTATTTTTTTATTTAAAATTCACCATGCTGACCAACGAACAATGCGGGGTGATAATTAAGCTGAGGTATAAAAATAACCAATGGGCGCGCCATAACCATAATGAATTCAGGTTATGTATAACACCGGTTGCCTTAATGCCTAATTTACGCACTAATAGATGCCCTATCCCAACCCCACGAACGCCCGAAATGTCCATTCCAGGATCATGTCACAATACGACACCCAGTGACATATATCAACATTCCCGCAATTGCCTGGTCTCTAGCTATTAAGTCTAATTATGTACAATCTGTGTGCACATGATTACTTCATTTATAGCCTGCAACCCAGTGCTGCTTCCGAGCTTTGGCATTTCATGGAATTCTAACCCAAGTTGGCATAACAGTTTACAGATTGGTTCATGGAAAATCCAAGGCTAAGAATAAGTTTATGTACATCTGAGGTTATAGAATTGTCTTAATGGAACATACGAGGCTTTATAAAAAGTGCAATGTTATATCCTTGGCTATAGAATAGGTTTAATGATACATTCTATTCTATAGAATAGATATAATGATACATTCTAGACTATAGAATAGCTTTAATGATGCAATCTATGCCAATAAATATATTTAATGATACATTCTAGACTATAGAATAGATATAATGACACGGCTATAGAACGGTTAAATTGTGCTGGGTGGCCGAGTGGTCTAAACTGAGCAAATCTCAAGTTGGTGGTCTGGAGTTCAATTCCAGCTAGAGCAAAAACACCACCAGCACCCCGGGTAGATAGGACTCGTTAACCTTGGACGGCAACTCATCTAAGAGAAGGAAACTCTGAAATCAAACCCGGAGATGGAGTCCCGAAAGGCGGATAACATTGATACAATGAAACATTCCGACAACTCCTGCGACGTCACTGGTGCCAAGCTGTATCATCCAATGATGTTCCCTTGGGTTACCCAGCGGCGTGGAGAGAGGCGATTTGCTGTTGGAAACCAGCTTATAATCCTTCAAGTATAATAATCCCAGGCTATGTGGATTTCGTCCTACGAAGCCCACTCCATCGTCACATTGTGACGGACGGATGCCAGCAAAATTGTGAACAGCTATGAAATGATCGAATTAATACCCAACCGAAATAACTACCCCTAATGATGTCAATTTAAGAATACTATCAACTAACAACAATCGAAAAGTTATTTTATAAAATGGCACGCTTCTCTCCTAAAGACAAATTCTTACGAAGTTGATAAAGTGACCTTGCTTTTATTAGATTGGGTTGTGGCAGTCACAGATGATTTGTTTCGATTTTTATTTATCATTTTCTGAAACTGTGCATGGAGAAATCTGTTACGGAACAAGAATATATGGCACTGACAGAAAGATATGATCACTGGCAGAAAGAGAGGCATACTGACAGAAAGATTTTTACTGACAGAAAGATTATTACTGAAAGAACAAGATGGTCACTGACAGAAATATTATTACTGACAGAAAGATTATTACTGAAAGAAAAAGATGGTCACTGACAGAAAGACCTGACATGAAGATCTGAATACGAATAGAAAGATAGGTAAGGAGTTGATGAGATCAAAGAAAAAGGAATAGAAAGCCAGACAGGATGTAAAATAGAAAGAGAAACAACAAGAATGGAATCGCCAATAGAGGATTCAATGCAATGACATTGGATAACATGAAAACAAAATTCACCAAATCTTTGTGTTGCTCATTAGAAAATCCAGATAGCAATTGCTTAGCACGGTAGCGTTAACTGGAAGCAGTTTAAAAGACATTGCATTTAAAAGACTTGCTATAAATGGTAATAAATTATAGGTATATATAATATAGATGAGATTGCACCAGACGATAGAGGGCTGTGCATTTTTTGTGCTATATCACACGTTTGCTACCATTAGCAAATCCCCATAATAGTTGGAGGAAGGGCGGTCGCAAGCAGACGCTTAGGTCATGGTGTTCCTTGTAGCTGTGGTGTGTATCTGCCTTGTTGAAACGGCATTCGGTGCTGTAGAAATTGTTAACGGTGAGTGGAGATACATTCGTATTGTGTAAGCGAACACAAAGATCGTGTACATTATATCAGAATCGAATTTGGAAAAATTAAGGCTGGTAACGATTAATTTAATTGTAATTGATAAATTTTTTATAATTAAAGATTAATTTAATTGTAATTGTTAACTTTTCTGTAATTAACGATTAATTTAATTGTAACTGTTAACTTTTCTATAATTAAAGATTAATTAATAGTTATTTTCCATTGAATTAAAATGTTTTAAAAAATTGACAAAAATTTGATATTTAATTAACTAAATAGCACAAGCTTTTTATCCTTTAAATGTCATCAGCTAACCAACAACGCAAAGACACTAGCATATAAACAGTGCTCGGTTCCAGTGATGAGCGTGTCGTAGTGACAATGTATCCAGCAGAGCTAAATAAACGTTCTCACGGAACTGAGTTAACTGGTAGGCTCAGACAAGTCTTGGCCAATAACGACAATTTAGGATATAGTTTTTTTGTTAAGCTTCCGCCATTGTAGCGGATCAACTGATTCAGCAATTTATTTTTTAGTTTTTATAACGATGTAGTTCATCATGAGCACTCTTCACGCCTTCTTCTGGGTCTGAGTCAGACTCCGTAAGCTTAATTCACATTGCATTAGGTTTGCAAATGGTTTCATCGGCACTTTCAGTATCATCATTAGCCTGCAAATGATTATCATCGGCACTGTCAGTATCATCATTAGTCTGCAAATGATCATCATTCAGATTAGATTTTAAATCTTGCCCAATAAGAGACATAGATTGTTCTTTTGAATCGTCTAAAAGGCACTTCAAGCTTTTATTTCGTGGATCGAATGCTGTTACAATCTATAATACTTCAATACTTGTTACACCAGCTACATGTTCTTTGATGAAATTAACATAATATGGCTCGAATCTGGCTATGTAGCCTTGTATCATCATTATTTACTATCATGTCATTTGTCACTGACGATAAATGTCGCAATACACGTCTAAACGACAGAGCACTGTCGACCGCCGAGTAGGACCGTCGCCTGGCAGAGCAGGTCTAAAACTTCGACGTATTTTGAAATATTTTCCCAATCACTGTCTAATAGTTTTAAAACTTTCTACTTCTTATCTTCCTCTGAAATTTGAACGGTTATTGCTTCTCTGGCCTGCAGCAGACTTTTGCAGCATCACAAAAATACTGTTCGCTTTTGGAATATCTGCTGTAGTTTGCTTAATGGTGACTCAGTAAAATTTTGTAACTTGGTCTATGTTTACAGTGGCCTACAATTTTGCAACATTTGCCAAACAATGTTTCGTTATCCGCGCCGTACGTTCAACTGCAGGCTATGAGCCATGCACGGAATATGGGCAAAACTACTTTTAATAACAGCAGAAACCATCTCCCGCACTTTTTCGGTGACGAAAGCATTCATTTTTAATTTTTTGTTGTTGTATTCTGCTGCAAACTGTATAATTCAGTAACTTTGTTAGAACAAAGACGTTCAACAATATTCACACAAACAAGAACAATGCTTCGAAAATTCCAGTCATCAGTGATGCAGTAGCACGTGATACGTTAATGTCACGCTGCACGATAGCACTCAACGGACGTTAAGACTGGGGACAAAACGGACACAGTCACACCGGACGTTAAGACTGGGGACAAAACGGACTCAGATTAGTCTGCCTTTGAAGGAGATGTCGATGCCCCTATCCACTAACCAGATGAAGTTGACTCATCAAGCTGAAGTTGACTCATCAAGCTGAAGTTGACTCATCAAGCTGAAGTTGACTCATCAAGCTGAAGTTGACTCATCAAGCTGAAGTTGACTCATCAAGCGGAAGTTGACTCATCAAGCTGAAGTTGACTCATCAAGCGGAAGTTGACTCATCAAGCGGAAGTTGACTCATCAAGCGGAAGTGTATGATACGGTTGCGGATGTTTTTTTTGAGGATGATAAGTAAACGCTGTTTTAGATCCATGATAAGCGAATGACTTATCCCAAAGCATGTAACAAATAACAAAATTTTCTATCTTTCGGCCAACCGACAGCTCATGGGGGGAACATAGCTAAACCATGTAACTCGCTTTAACGCGAATACGAATATAACGCGACCGTTGCAAGTCTCACAGAGTTTCGTTTGTTCATTCACACTTGAAAGTAGTCCTTTTTTTCCAAAGTACACGAGTTTTCTTAATTTGTTTGTTTTGTCTATTTTCGATGTTTTTTTCTTCTTTTTTTCCCTGTTTTTTTTTCTATATTTTCATTTTTTGGAATGGGTGGTGGGGGTGGGCGAAATGTAATCACGTATTATAACACGATTCTGAAATTTAAAATGTAATGCAAATCCAAGAAAGGAAATATTAGCTAAGATGATGCTGACGTTAGATGCAATCATTTGAAAGCTGCAACATGTTTGCTATGCAACAATGTCCACGTATTAGCTACACAAATCTCATTGGTGATGTCAAGTCATGGATGACTCTCAGCAAGTTAAAGCTAAACAATGACAGAACGGAAGCACTCCTTATTTACAATCATGAATCATCCTCTAGCTCAGCTCTCCCCATCTCGTTTCAAGTAGGTAGCTCTGATATAGAGCTCACATCCTCTGCTAAGAATCTTGGTTACATTCTTTCTTACATATCACTCAATAATCATATTTCTCTATCCACCAGATTAGCTCCATCCGCCACTAACTCACAGTCAGCGCAACAAAAACCCTAGTATGTGCACTAGTTCTCTCTCGTCTTGACTATTGTAACTCTCTTCTGTCAGCTTAACCACAAAATTTCATAGAAAAACTGCAGAAAGTTCAAAACTCAGCTGCTAGGTTAGTTCTAAAAGGCAAAGAAACGTGATCACGTCACTCCACTACTTCACTCACTTCCTTGGCTCCCCATACAGGCACGCATTGCTTACAAGATGTCTGTTTTATGTCACAACTTTTTCTCTGGTTCCTGCCCTTCTTGTTTAACTGAACTTCTTATTTTCTATTCTCCCCTTCGAAAACTTCGTTCCTCCGCAGACACGCGTATTCTTTCTATTGCCAGAACACGCACTAAAACATATAGTGAACGATCTTTCTTTTTCTGCGCCCCCAAGCAATGGAATTCTCTCCCACAGCACATCCGCAATAATTCGACCACACAGACCTTCAAAACTGCACTCAAAACACATCTCTTTAAACTCTACTATCCCGACTGATTCCCTACGATGGCTGATAAACGATGCTGCAGGTTGCTGTACATTGCTTGACATTTAAAAGTTCTGGGGTGGGTGGTGTGAATATACATTTGTTTTTGTTTTGTTGCTACAAAGCTGTTTCTTAATTAAATAAATGTATGTTATTTTTTTAATGTTATGTTTATCTTTGCTAATATTTTTATGTACAGTGCGGTGAGCCCAGCCTTAGGCTGAGTACCGCGCTATATAAGACCACTAATAATAATAATAATAATAAAATAGATGTTTTCTTTTATGATGGGTAGAATTTGAATTTTATAATAGGTTGATTTTGTATTTTATGATGGGTAGAATTTGAATTTTATAATAGGTTGATTTTGTATTTTATGATGGGTAGAATTTGCATTTTATTATGGATAGATGTTCTATTTTATGACAGGTAGATGTTGTATTTTATGACAGGTAGATGTTGTATTTTATGACAGGTAGATGTTGTATTTTATGACAGGTAGATGTTGTATTTTATTACAGGTAGATGTCCGTATGGTAAAAAGGCCGGAGACAAATGGCACCAGACAGAGTGTAGAGAATGTTTCTGTGAAACTGGGAAATGGGCGTGCATAAGGTAATTTTTATTATTATTGTTCGTCCTACGCGTGCGAAGATGACTAAGGCTTCGACTTGAATAGTAGCCTTGACTTGAGCTGCATTGAGATGCTCAATTCGTGAGCCTCGCTCTCTCGTCCTGCCCTATTTATTCCAATGGCAAGATTTAATCAAGGTGACTGGAAAGAGACCAGGATGCAGTTGACCAGCGGAGTCTTTGTGCTTCCTTCATTGTGCTCTTCATGCGTTCCACGCCGCAGAAGCCGTCGGAACGCTCATTCTGTAAATGTCATACCGCGTACGGGACTCCATCTCCTTGTATAATTTAAAAGTTTGGCCTCTCTTAGATGGGTTGCCACCCAAGGTTAGCAGGGCCCATCCAACCGGGTTGGTTGCTGCTTTTGTTTGTCTGTGCTTTTGCTGGAGATTGAGCTCCAGTATACAAGCTCAGGATTGCAAAATTTTAAACCACTCGGCCACCCTGCACAAGGCAATAAGAAAAGGGTTTGTATAAAGTAACAGGGAAATGTGCGTGCATGGAAATAGGCTTGTGCAAGGTCATAGGGAAATGTTTTTTGATCACAAAGTAAATTTTTATCTTCAGCACATCTCTCATATATATTACGCTTCTGGTGTAACTCGTGGACTGCTTCCTAATGGACTGCTTCTTAATCATCCACTTTGGTAGTATATTACACATAATTAATATTACACATAATTCTTAATGTTTGAAAGAAAGTATGGTTCACAACAATGAGTTCAATAGCGCGTAAAATATAATTCCCGATAACTACGTTAATTTTTTTTTTATTATCACAACTGCGTTTGGTGTGCAACATGTTATTTTCGGAAAATGAAATCGTCTGAATTTAAGTATGGTGTAAAAATTATTCGTTATAAAAGTGATTGGGACGTCAGAATATTTAATATAGTGCATGGGCGTGAAATAAAAAGTGACCATTCACGTATCATTAAGGGAAGGGGTGTAGTAAAAATTATTTTTCTTAAAGGTGCGTTACTTGAGTTCATGTTTTGTCTAGTAATTTTAGTAGATTGGAAGTTCACCCATTGCTGTCGCCAACGTTTGGCGAGCCTTATCCAGTCTTAAATATTCTTAAAAAGTGAAACATTTTTAAACTAGAATAGTTTAACACTAGACATCTAAAAGTATTTCTCAAGTGCAAAAATCAACAGTCATTTGCAATGGAGCTTCACTCAGTCAGTAACAATGTTGACTTTAAGAGGAATTATTTGAGATTTAATTTTGTTAACAGTCAAAAGGGGTAGCACGGGGGAGAACTCTGGTAAAATCTAATATGGAAACAAATGATTTAAAGAAAAATATCTTTCGGTCCTAACTTAAAAGGAAAGAATTCGCCCTGCTTGAGCTGATTTTAGGTGTCTGTGATGAAGAAGGTGGGATTTATGTATCTGTTATGAAGAGGCATTTGTGATGAAGAGGGAGGAATCTATCAGCCAATGTGTTTTTAGTTCTACAAATGCTTATTGCTTGAACTAGTTCTTCAAGCGAAAGTAATTTTGTTTGAGCGATATTACTTGCTTTCTTTTTAATTCCATTTGGTCGGAGATTCAAGTGAGGAGCATAATAATATAAATAAGCTTTCTATCAGTAAACCCTCCAAAACAATGGATGTGACTTCTCAGACCTTGGGGGTTGACACATTGGCTTACTTCGACTAAATCTCACCCCAAAATTGCGCTCTGAACAGATCTTTTATAAAGTGCTGGGTGGCCCAGCGGCCTAAACTGACTGAACTCCAACAGCTGATCGTCTGGTGTTCAAACCCCAACAAAGCCGATAAAAGCGAATACAACCCAAGCCCCACAGGTGGAGGGGAAACGTTTGCCTAGGACAGCAGCTCATATAAGAGAAGGCAAACTCTGAATTCAAACCAGGAGCCAGAATGATCAATAAATTGATCTTGGGCCCACAATTGTAAGAACAAAAAAGAGAAGAAAAAAGTATAATTACAATTACAAAAGCGTCACACTGGGTGTTTGATCATTTTCGTCTTTTCTCCTGCCCAACCATAAATAATGTTAAGCTCAATTATATCGTGAGAAACAGACTGTTGGTAATAATATACAGTCATTAAAATAAAGTGCTTCCCGGAAATCTTCCCCTTCATGCACATTTACATCCCATTTCTCACACCCTGAACTTTAAAATAAAAATGTTCTGATCAAATGTCCCCGCCATTTCTAACAATTTCTCGGTAATATCGAGGGGGGGGGGGAAGAATATGGCGCTACATATATTTTATTGTATCTTTGTAAGCACACAGAAAACTTTCTTTCAAAACATCTTTGACATCCCACTGTTCTACGAACATAAAGTAAAGCCTTTTTAAAACAGTGTAAAACAAAGTAACTCATCTTGAACGTCCTTCATATGACCGTCGGCTAAGCCAGTTTAAAATAATATTATCTTAGCGTTTACTGTCAAGATATGATTATTTTTTTTAAATGGCAGCTTTTGGTGTTAAGGGATACTGTGCAAACTGTCAAACTGCCAAAGAACCGTCATCGGGTCAGGGGTGAGGAGTTACGACCAGGTCACATTTGGTTCCCATCCATTTCTTCATATTTTAAACAAATTAACTTTGTTACATACATGCAAAAACACATACATATTCTTACTGTCCTTTATAAAAGTAGATAACTTTTTCCAGGTGCCGAGACTTGAACGTAGGTCATGACCGCTCTCAGTGCTATAACATCTACCTTGAACAGACGACCTACCCAGCCTGTTGTGTGGCCACACTTAAATGTCGCGGGGAGCCAGGATTCAGTGAGATCAGGCTATTTGAGGAGCTGCACAACATAACAACAAAACAGGCCCCCATGAGGTCCACCACACAAGCCCCCAGGAAGCCTAAGCCCATCAAAGTAACCTTCAAGAAGCCGTCTAAAAAGATCTACACGAAGAAACCGTCTAAAAAGATTCACGTTTCATTAGGCCGGGACAAAAAGAAAAAGTACCGATGGTAAAGGGAGATAACAAGGAAATTAAATGGCAGGGTTACACGTCCACCCCCAAAACGTCCATGTTACAGGAGATGTAATTAAGAAGAACGAAAGAAAAAAAAAAGATGTGGTATTATCACAACAAACTAAAAGGCTGTCGAGCATTTTCCATTATTTCTTTTTTTTCCCCTCAGTAAACAACGTCAAAACGTGTAATTGTTATTTCCCTCCCTTGTCTGGGTATTTTTTAAATGACGTCATGATTTTTATGGTTTTGGTGAAATTTTTGGAACTTTTACTTTGATTATTAAACACATGATGTAGATGTCATCTAAGCTGACAAAGATGTCAACTAAAACTGACAAAGATGTCATCTAAACTGACAAAGATGTCATCTAAGCTGACAAAGATGTCAACTAAAACTGACAAAGATGTCATCTAAGCTGAAAAGATGTCATCTAAGCTGACAAAGATGTCATCTAAACTGACAAAGATGTCAACTAAAACTGACAAAGATGTCATCTAAACTGACAAAGATGTCATCTAAACTGACAAAGATGTCAACTAAAACTGACCAAGATGTCATCTAAACTGACAAAGATGTCAACAAAACTGACAAAGATGACAACTAAAACTGACCGAGATGTCAATTAAAACTGACCAAGATGTCATCTAAACTGACAAAGATGTCAACTAAAACTGACAAAGATGTCATCTAAACTGACAAAGATGTCATCTAAGCTGACAAAGATGTCATCTAAACTGACAAAGATGTCATCTAAACTGACAAAGATGTGAACTAAAACTGACCAAGATGTCATCTAAACTAACAAAGATGTCAACAAAACTGACAAAGATGACAACTAAAACTGACCAAGATGTCATCTGAACTCAAATAGATGTCAACTAAAACTGACAAAGATGTCATCTAAACTGACAAAGATGTAATCTAAAACTGACAAAGATGTCACTTAAACTGACAAAGATGTCATCTAAACTGACAAAGATGTCATCAAAACTGACAAAGATGTCAACTAAAACTGACAAAGATGTCATCTAAAACTGACAAAGATGTCAACTAAAACTGACAAAGATGTCATCTAAACTGACAAAGATGTCATCTAAACTGACAAAGATTTCATCTAAAACTGACAAAGATGTCAACTAAAACTGACAAAGATGTCAACTAAAACTGACAAAGATGTCATCTAAACTGACAAAGATGTCATCTAAACTGACAAAGATGTCATCTAAACTGACAAAGATGTCAACTAAAACTGACAAAGATGTCATCTAAACTAACAAAGTTGTAATCTAAAACTGACAAAGATGTCATCTAAACTAACAAAGATGTCATCTAAACTGACAAAGATGTCAACTAAAACTGACAAAGATGTCATCTAAACTGACAAAGATGTAATCTAAAACTGACAAAGGTGTCATATAAACTGACAAAGATGTCACCTAAACTGACAAAGATGTCAACTAAAACTGACAAAGATGTCATCTAAACTGACAAAAATGTCAACTAAAACTGACAAAGATGTAATCTAAAACTGACAAAGATGTCATCCAAACTGACAAAGATGTCAACTAAAACTGACAAAGATGTCAACAAAAACTGACAAAGATGTCATCTAAACTGACAAAGATGTCATCTAAACTGACAAAGATGCCATCTAAACTGACAAAGATGTCATCTAAACTGAGTAAGATGTAATCTAAAACTGACAAAGATGTCATCTAAACTGACAAAGATGTCATCTAAACTGACAAAGATGTCAACTAAAACTGACAAAGATGTCATCAAAGCTGACAAAGATGTCATCTAAGCTGACAAAGATGTCATCTAAACTGACAAAGACGTGAACTAAAACTGACCAAGATGTCATCTAAACTGACAAAGATGTCAACAAAACTGACAAAGATGACAACTAAAACTGACCAAGATGTCATCTGAGCTGACAAAGATGTCAACTAAATCTGACAAAATTGTCATCTAAAACTGACAAAATTGTCACCTAAAATGACAAAGATATCATATAAAACTGACAAAGATGTCAACTAAAACTGACCAAGATGTCATCTAAACTGACAAAGATGTCAACTAAAACTGACAAAGATGTCAACTAAAACTGACAAAGATGTCATCTAAAACTGACAAAGATGTCAACTGAAACTGACAAAGATGTCATCTAAACTGACAAAGATTTCATCTAAAACTGACAAAGATGTCAACTAAAACTGACAAAGATGTCAACTAAAACTGACAAAGATGTCATCTAAACTGACAAAGATGTCATCTAAACTGACAAAGATGTCATCTAAACTGACAAAGATGTCAACTAAAACTGACAAAGATGTCATCTAAACTAACAAAGATGTAGTCTAAAACTGACAAAGATGTCATCTAAACTGACAAAGATGTCATCTAAACTGACAAAGATGTCAAATAAAACTGACAAAGATATCATCTAAACTGACAAAGATGTAATCTAAAACTGACAAAATGTCATATAAACTGACAATGATGTCATCTAAACTGACAAAGATGTCAACTAAAACTGACAAAGATGTCAACTAAAACTGACAAAAATGTCATCTAAACTGACAAAGATGTCATCTAAACTGACAAAGATGTCATCTAAACTGACAAAGATGTCATCTAAACTGACAAAGATGTAATCTAAAACTGACAAAGATGTCATCTAAACTGACAAAGATGTCATCTAAACTGACAAAGATGTCATCTAAACTGACAAAGATGTCATCTAAGCTGACAAAGATGTCATCTAAGCTGACAAAGATGTCATCTAAACTGACAAAGATGTGAACTAAAACTGACCAAGATGTCATCTAAACTAACAAAGATGTCAACAAAACTGACAAAGATGACAACTAAAACTGACCAAGATGTCATCTGATCTGACAAAGATGTCATCTAAACTGACAAAGATGTGAACTAAAACTGACCAAGATGTCATCTAAACTAACAAAGATGTCAACAAAACTGACAAAGATGACAACTAAAACTGACCAAGATGTCATCTGAACTGAAATAGATGTCAACTAAAACTGACAAAGATGTCATCTAAAACTGAGAAAGATGTCACCTAAAATGACAAAGATATCATCTAAAACTGACAAAGATGTCAACTAAAACTGACCAAGATGTCATCTAAACTGACAAAGATGTCAACTAAAACTGACAAAGATGTCAACTAAAACTGACAAAGCTGTCATCTAAAACTGACAAAGATGTCAACTGAAACTGACAAAGATGTCATCTAAACTGACAAAGATTTCATCTAAAAATGACAAAGATGTCAACTAAAACTGACAAAGATGTCAACTAAAACTGACAAAGATGTCATCTAAACTGACAAAGATGTCATCTAAACTGACAAAGATGTCATCTAAACTGACAAAGATGTCAACTAAAACTGACAAAGATGTCAACTAAAACTGACCAAGATGTCATCTAAACTGAAAAAGATGTCAACTAAAACTGACAAAGATGTTAACTAAAACTGACAAAGATTTCATCTAAAACTGACAAAGATGTCAACTGAAACTGACAAAGATGTCATCTAAACTGACAAAGATGTCATCTAAACTGACAAAGATGTCAACTAAAACTGACAAAGATGTCAACTAAAACTGACAAAGATTTCATCTAAACTGACAAAGATGTCATCTAAACTGACAAAGATGTCATCTAAACTGACAAAGATGTCAACTAAAACTGACAAAGATGTCATCTAAACTAACAAAGATGTAATCTAAAACTGACAAAGATGTCATCTAAACTGACAAAGATGTCATCTAAACTGACAAAGATGTCATCTAAACTGACAAAGATGTCAACTAAAACTGACAAAGATGTCATCTAAACTAACAAAGATGTAATCTAAAACTGACAAAGATGTCATCTAAACTGACAAAGATGTCATCTAAACTGACAAAGATGTCAACTAAAACTGACAAAGATGTCATCTAAACTGACAAAGATGTCATCTAAGCTGACAAAGATGTCATCTAAACTGACAAAGATGTCAACAAAACTGACAAAGATGACAACTAAAACTGACAAAGATGTCATCTGAACTGAAATAAATGTCAACTAAAACTGACAAAGATGTCATCTAAAACTGAGAAAGATGTCACCTAAAATGACAAAGATATCATCTAAAACTGACAAAGATGTCAACTAAAACTGACCAAGATGTAATCTAAACTGACAAAGATGTCAACTAAAACTGACAAAGATGTCAACTAAAACTGACAAAGATTTCATCTAAAACTGACAAAGATGTCAACTGAAACTGACAAAGATGTCATCTAAACTGACAAAGATGTAATCTAAAACTGACAAAGATGTCATCTAAACTGACAAATATGTAATCTAAAACTGACAAAGATGTCATATAAACTGACAAAGATGTCATCTAAACTGACAAAGATGTAAACTAAAACTGACAAAGATGTCAACTAAAACTGACAAAGATGTCATCTAAACTGACAAAGATTTCATCTAAACTGACAAAGATGTCATCTAAACTGACAAAGATGTCATCTAAACTGACAAAGATGTAATCTAAAACTGACAAAGATGTCATCTAAACTGACAAAGATGCCATCTAAACTGATAAAGATGTCAACTAAAACTGACAAAATGTCATCTAGGCTGACAAAAAAGATGTCATCTAAGCTGACAAAGATGTCATCTAAACTGACAACTATGTGAACTAAAACTGACCAAGATGTCATCTAAACTAACAAAGATGTCAACAAAACTGACAAAGATGACAACTAAAACTGACCAAGATGTCATCTGAACTCAAATAGATGTCAACTAAAACTGACAAAGATGTCATCAAAGCTGACAAAGATGTCATCTAAGCTGACAAAGATGTCATCTAAACTGACAAAGATGTGAACTAAAACTGACCAAGATGTCATCTAAACTGACAAAGATGTCAACAAAACTGACAAAGATAACAACTAAAACTGACCAAGATGTCATCTGAGCTGACAAAGATGTCAACTAAAACTGACAAAGATGTCAATTAAAACTGACAAAATTGTCACCTAAAATGACAAAGATATCATCTAAAACTGACAAAGATGTCAACTAAAACTGACCAAGATGTCATCTAAACTTACAAAGATGTCAACTAAAACTGACAAAGATGTCAACTAAAACTGACAAAGATGTCATCTAAACATGACAAAGATGTCAACTGAAACTGACAAAGATGTCATCTAAACTGACAAAGATGTCATCTAAACTGACAAAGATGTCATCTAAACTGAGTAAGATGTAATCTAAAACTGACAAAGATGTCATCTAAACTGACAAAGATGTCAACTAAAACTGACAAAGATGTCATCAAAGCTGACAAAGATGTCATCTAAGCTGACAAAGATGTCATCTAAACTGACAAAGATGTGAACTAAAACTGACCAAGATGTCATCTGAGCTGACAAAGATGTCAACTAAAACTGACAAAGATGTCATCTAAAACTGACAGAATTGTCACCTA